TGTATGTTCTAAGTGCAGAGCTATGTGGCACATCCCCTGATTATAGGCAGGACAATGGGCAGAGTGTGAAAACTGCATAATAAGTGACTGAAGTTATTACTTAGGCAGAAAGGCAAAGAAAATATATACCAGTTACTCACTGTATGTCACCAACACGGCAACTGTCACCAGCAGAATGGAACAAAGGACTCCCAGAGGTATCACAATGAAGCGCCAAGGGACTGAAGATTCTCAAATTAAGAAAATAATCACCATTAAAAAAGCAAGTCCCAATACTAATTATAATTTTGTATAGCATGGAGATGATGGGATATTAGTCTCTAAAATTTTACAGAATTCTGTCATACAAACTTAATGAACATTGCCTTCAAGATTATATTGCACCCATTTTTGAAATCTTACATGTGCATATTTTCACAGGATATCAAACTTTTTTCACCTTTGGTCTTGTATTTTTAATCCTCCTGACTCAGTCTAGAAATAGCTGTATGACAGGCACATATCCCTCACCCAGTTCTACAGGATCAAAAGTGCATCCTTCAGAAAGCACTGGAGGCACAGACAGTTCGGGTAGATGATCCCAAACTGGAGCGAGCAGTCCACCAAGGGAGCATAACTGAGGATGAGGAGGAAAGGAAGAGGGATGGATGTTCTTGAGAACTGTAGGGAACCATGGCACTTCTGGAGCTGACTTGTATTCAGGGTCATACATAAAGGAGCTTAGAAGTGAACTCTTGATTTTTTATTTATATAAGTTATATTTTTCTCTAGATAATACAAAACATCTTTATGTATCTGAGGTGTTGGGAATCTGAAAGTCAAGCTTCTGACTATCAGTATGTCAAAGAAGTTAAGTTTAGGGTTCATTTGTGACATTATAGGAAGAGTGAGCAGAAAAAGAATAGAAAGTTTTCATTAGTAAACTTAATTATTCTGCAAAAGCATAATGTGGTTTAGTGACCCCCATCCCCACTACCATCTGTCATCCCCTCTCTTCCTCTGCAGCTTCTTCCCAGGAAGAGACTCTGTCATGCAGTAGATGTTGAGAAATACTTAAGACAATAAAAACACCTTTTGTTAGAATAAATGTTTTGTTTATAAGGAATACTTTTCATTTCCTTAAGATTTTATTTCTCTAAACACACTTGGTGTTTCTTCAGATTCTAGTGTGTTACTTTTAAAAGTTTCAGAATTCTTCTTCATGAAATTAAAAAAAAATTTCTTAATTGTTTCTGAAATTTGACAGAATATATTCACTTCACCATTCTCAATAACTTTTTCTTACAGGCTCCCATCATTCTGATCTGACCATCCGGCTTTCTTTGGTTTCTAGCTAACACCTAGAAATAGGATTATTGCTGAGTGGTGATGGCACACACCTTTAATCACCATGCTAGGCAGGCAAAGGCAGGAGATCTCTGAGTTTGAAGCCAGCCTGTTCTACAGAGTATGTTTCAGGACAGCCAAGGCTACACAGAGAAACCTTGCTTCGAACTTCCCAGGCAATTCTCCGGAGGAAAAAAAAAAAAAAAAAAGCAAAGCAAAGCAAAGCAAATGAAGCAGATTTTAGCCAGGCATGATGGTACATGCCTTTAATCCAAGCACTTGGGAAACAGAGGCAGCAGAATCACTTTGAGTTTAAGGCCAGCCTAGTCTACAAAGGGAGTTTTGGGACAGCCAAGGCTATTAGAAGGAGAAACAATGTCTTAAAAAAGAAAACAAACCTCCAAAAGTAGAGATATTGTTTCTAATGGCAGCCGATAGGATATTGTTTTCAAAATTAGAAGTTTTTGATGCATCAAAAATAGGTGAATTTAGATGTTTAAACACTTACCTCTGTGGCCAGCTTCTCTGGGCCCTTGCTTCTCATCAGCCCTTCCTCGATTCTGCAACCCTGAAGACTTATGGAATCTCACAGTTGTGTAAGTAATCTCTTCATCACCCATCGTGGGAGTAAATGAAGTATGGTCTGTGTTAAAATCTGCCCTTGAGTGATTTCTAAAGAAAACTTTAAAATGTCCACATTTAGGAAGGTACCTGGATCTGATGCTGCAGTGGGGTGGGAAGGAGTAGAGTCTGATTCATTCCCCTAATGATCCAAACACCCTCAATCACATGGAATGACCATGTTTTCTGCTGGAGGTGAGAAATCTTTGAAGATTTTTTCCATTTATACATCTAATGGCCTCAGAACTTATTATTAGGAGATACAGAAAGGATTAAAAATTTACTAATAAGTCATTGTAATATTGACAGAACACATATATAAAATGTTAGCCAAAATTGGTACTACAACAAACCATTGAAATACTTTTAAACTATCAATTGAAATAAAAAAATCAGTTTTCTGAATAAAGAAAAATTTTGCTTATAATTATTAACATGTTTTGATAAACACATGAATGCAAAAATGTTCTTATAGTCTTTTCCATCATGCATGTCAATCAGTTTCCTAGACAAAGCCTTGAAACAATATATGAAATTTAATACTGCTGCTGATTAACATTTTGGGCTGGAAATACAAAAATATCTCTCCTGAGATGTCCAACCTCTCTACTCAGTCACATCCTACACATTATTCTCCAGAGTCAAGCCTGATAAATGCATGAAACTAGAGAATACCCTACTGAGTGGGGGTAACCTTGACTCAAAAAGACAAATATTACATGTTTTCTCACATCTGATGCTCCTTGCTTTAAGGCTTCAGACATGCTACAGAACCTGGAGTGACTGCAGCAACCAGGAAAGTAGAAAGGGGTATTGCAGGGGTGAGGTGTGAGAGCAATAGAGGGGCATAGCAGGGTACAACCAGAAGTTTTAATTTCAAATCATTCCATGTACATGATTACTTCACATATTATATTCTAGTATATGATGTTGCCAGAGACACCTATATGAAAATAAATTCTGTCACTATGCAGCAATCATCAGTTAATGCCCATAAGGGATCCAATCTGATAATAGATATCAATGTATTACTGAATAGTAAATATTTGTAACTTACCTTACCCCTGACATTAATAACTGAGATGACAGCCAGCAGATAATATGAAAAACAAGCTTCACATGTGACAGCATTCTCTATTTTTTTAATTCATGAAGTTTTCTGAAATTACTTATATTTTGCCTTATTTCTTGGGAGAAAGGAATCTTTCTGTTACAGAATTCTTTTTCAAAATCATTACTTATTATTATTGCTGTTGAGGGTGAGGGTACTTGAGCCATGGTGCATGTGTCCAGAGGATAACTTTACAGAGTGAGTCCTCTCATTCCACTTTATGAGGGTCCCATGGATTTAACGCAGGTGGTCAGTCTGGCTTGTGTAGCAAGTACATTGAGCCACCTTACCTGGCTCCAATTATGACTTCTTCAAGATGGATAATATATAAACATTTGATCCAGTGAAAGAGTAATGAACTCCATAGAACCCTTTACATTATTATTTTTTTTTTCAGCACACAGCAGAAGTCACAGAACACTCAGAAAGAAAACCAGTGCAGAACTCCAGTTTTCACATGCTGTCAGAGTCAACCAGATCACACATAACCAACAAGGCGTCCCCGTTTATCCTGCTCTCAGGTCACACCATCTGAAATTCTCTAGATAACATAAGATCATGTGATTGAAAAATAATAAAAGCAGCTGTTACCTGTGTTTCAACCCGAAATAATTATTGCTGAAGGAATTGATCCCCAATTGGGGGACAGGTTGGTGTTTTCTGTTCTGTATCCTCTCAAGGCTCCAAGAGAAAAGGCAGAACTGAATCACCTTTGAGTGATGTTCAAGCTCATGATTTTCTGCCCCTCCTCTTGACCAAAGAGAAAAGAGGAAATTGCATGATGAAAGGTGATGCTGACGGATAGGAAAGAACCAAGCTACCATGTCAGATGCTGCAAATCATGTCCATAATTGATATTTGAAGACCGAGAAGATAAATGTATCTGCTAGAAAGAAAAAACAGTAAGTGTCTTTTTCAAAAATACTAGTAAAAGATTACTGAAGTTCCTTCAATCCTAATTTTGTATTAGGTTGATTGAATATTTTCTTGCATTACTATTTGAAAAAAAAATTAAAATTACTTTCTGTTTTTGAATTATGTTTATTAGAGTTAAATGTGTTTTAGGAATTACTTTTAAGCACTCACATTTCCACTATAAAATTCTTACTGTATGCTCTTCTAGCTTTTTATCATAGAGAATGTTTAAAGTGGATGTTAATGTCTTTCCATTTGGAGTGGTCTTCTGGCTGATGTTTTCATGGTGCTCAGATGTCATACCTAAGATATTATGCATGCTCAGCAAATACTCTACCACTGATTAACAGACTAAGACTTTTGGTTGTTTTGTTTTGAGTTTTTGATGTTTTTTCTTTTGTTTGATATAGCGATTGTTATATCATACCTATTATGTAGCCCAGACTGGCCTCAAACTCTGAGTCCTCTTGACTCAGTCTCTTCAGTGCTGGGAGTTTAGCTGTATACCACCACACCAATTTAACACCATGTTTCTACTTCAACTTTTCTAATAAATAATAAGCATTTTTTCATTTTATAAATATTGATCTATAAGATTTTTAAAGATATATAATTATTAATCAATTCTATACAGTACAAATTAAGTAATTAGATAATCTCTTACTGTTGAATATTTAAACTATTTACACTATTTCATTGTTAATTTAAAAACTATATGGGCTATACTTTAGAACATACTTAGACATTTTATGCATGAAGTCATGTGATCAAAGGAGATAGACATTTAAGGAACTCTAATATTGATTACCATACACCCTCTAGTTCATTTATAGTCTACCAGCTGTATGTGAAAATAATCCCAACTGTTTATGTTTTGAAGCTAAGATAAGGTAAATTTTTCTTGCAAGAGTTTTGCCCATGGATTTGTGATGAGAATTCCTGCAAAGAAGCTTTGTCAGCAAAGAGTGATTTACTGATCACTGATTGAAAACTACATTGAAGTGGAAATGTTGGAATGTTGTAGATCCAGATGCTAATTACTTTGCTATGTGATAGCTTTAGCCCCCTTAATAGCCATTCCTTAGCTCCCACCTCCAATACTTCCTCCTAACTGTTTCACAATTTGCTCCTGTCCTCACCACTAGTTTATGCTGTCTCTGTCTTACATGGCCAGTTTCTGGTTGTGTTTTTTTTTTTTTTTTTACATTATTCCTTTTGTAGACTTAAAAAAACTTTTAAATTTATTATTATTGTGTCTAATGAGTGTTTGTGAGATTGAATGCATGCATGCCATGAGTTGCAAGTGAGGATAAGAGGACAACTTTGGGAATTAGTTAGTTCTTTTCTTCCATTTTGGGTTCCATGGATCAAATTTGGGGAGGTCATCAGGTTTGTGGCCAGGGCTTTTACCAATGGAGACATCTCACAGGTCCACTTCATGGTTCTTAAACCCTGATATCTCTGAGTCATTACACAACTCTACCATTATTGTATACCAGATGTCTCTTGAAACAGTTCACAGACATTATTTTATCTTAACAGTGTGAGACAAGTTTATTGAGTTCAATGTGGATGCTTCCAGAATAACTCTAGTTAGTCATTTTTATCTCCATTCCCACATCCTGGGGCATCCTTCTATCTCTTGTCTACACACACACACACACACACACACACACACACACACACACACACACCTTAAGACAAAATAAATATAGCCTGGGTTTTAGCTTGCCACAAAGTATGGATCTGGGAGCTAGAGAGACTTGAGTGGAAAAGCCTACAAGCTCCTGTGACTTTAGGTAAGTCAGATCATTCACAAAGTCTTTGAGCACAGCAAAACAGAATTGCACTTTTCCTCCAAGATTCCTGTGAAGTTTTAACAAGATATACAGACACACAAACAGCTTTTTGTTTTGTTTTACGTTTTCCTTGTTTGTTTAAGACAGGTCTCACCACATTGGCCTCACAAGTGATTGGATTAATGTGTGAGCCCAAGTTTCACAAAGTTTTTAATCATAACTGGCCAATAGGATGGTAAACTTGCATTCAACATTCAACATTATTATTTGTAGTACACGACTCCAATCTTTCCTTACTACATAAATTTGAGCAAAACACTGAATCTTCAAACCGTTTTTTCCCCACAACGTCATTAAGTGTGTCAAATACTCCCTAGGGTTGGAATAATTGCAATCAGGAAAATAGCGAGAAGCTCTTAGATTTCAAAATAACAGGGTTTTTTTTTTTTTTTTTTTTTTTTTTTTTTTTTTTTGAGCTTTCTAGAATGCAGAAGCTTCTCTCAGCCACAGGATATGCTAGGTTTTCTACCTGACCTTGTCAAAGAGTGAAGATGTTTGGAAGACAGAATAGGATGGTCCATGAACCAACACAAAGAACTGAGAGAACTTCAGCAGTGAGCCAGTGCTGCTCCTGAAAATTCACAGTTGCCCTAGATGAGAGTTGGGGGTTGTATCACACTGCTCATGGAAACACGAATGGTTCTTTTTACATCCTTATCTCTGCTGAGAGGAAGTCATCTTTACTGGGGGGTCTAAGCAAGCACAGGACACGCTTCTTTGTGCTTTCTACATACTGTTTGCTTCCTCTAACATCATGCAAAGTCTGTGAGCAAGAACTCCAGACCTGTTTTGTTCATTATTGTGACCAAAGCATGAACAGGAGATGAGGTGCCTACCAGTTCACTTGATGAAGAAGGGGAATAGCTAACAAAAACTGACCACACATTGGGTAATTTTCTGGTTTTGGACAGAGACAGAGGATGTCAATAACTTTAAAGCTAAAAAGCAGCAGCTTCCTCTGAGTTCTGTACAACCAAGCTCTAAATTCTAGAAAAATGTAAATTATTAGTGAACATAAATAGCATGAGAAAACAGAGCCACTTCAGATCAAATTGACTGACAATTCCACTGTGATTCTTTGACCAATGTGCAACACAAAACAGAAAATGCTAAA